TAGGTGGAAAAGTTCGCTCAGGCCGTACGATTGCTCGTGCGGCGCTGCTTATTCCGCTTGACTGATTGAAGCGTCTTTGTCTCTGTCTACACACAAGTCTCTCTATATGTATGTGTGTGTGGGTGTGCGTGTGTGAGTGTGTGTTATCTAAGTTTGTTTGAATAAACTTAAGCGAATGTTTTGTAAGAAGATTTCCTTTATTGCCAAAGAGTGAGTCTCTTCGACTACACATATACATATATATCTATCTATATATATGGATGACAGTTGAAGCTGTGTCCTGGCTGACTGCTTGAGTCCTTGCTAACGTTGCCACTGCAGCTTCACTATCACACACACACACACACCCTTCGCCTTCCTAAAACAAATATTCAACTGCTTCTGCGAAGCCTTTTTGAAGTTCACTTTTGCATCGACTCGATTTGCGTTTGCTCTCAGTTGCTTTGGCTCGGTTTCCCATATAATGCCACATAATGCCAAATCGATTGTAAACCAAGACCGAAACACTTCAGTCACCAGTCAATGGGTAGCAAGCGGCAGGCGGCAAGCAGCAGGAAACTGGCAGCAGGCAGCGAGCAGTTGGCAGTTGGCAGCAGGCAGCAGTCGATAGCTAGTAGCAGTCACTGTATCATAATAAAACGTCTAATTCTACCAATTCGACATCTTGCCGGACATTAGAGCTGCGAATTACAGTTCAATTTAATGAACAACTTTTATGAGTTTTATGAACTATAGAAACTTTTAGTCCTTTCAGCCATTCAGGAACTTTTGAACAAGTTCAGTTCGTAGACAAAGTAGTTTAGTGGGTTATTTCAGGGAGTTGTGAATGAAGAGAGTTTGGAATATATAGTTTAATATGAGAAAGTCGTCTGGAGTTGTTCAGTTCTAACTCATGAACTATCTCCATATAGATAAAGTATTCAGTTTAGTTAAGGGGTTTAAGTTCATGTTCCAGCTCCGAAATAAAACAGTTTATTATTAAGATATAAATAAATATATAGAAAACAATTTATAAAAAGTACTCAAACAGCATTAAACACTCAACAATTCACATTAAACAAAGTCAAGCTAAACACTTTTAGCAAAAATTTCTTTGAAAAATAGTTCCACTAGTTATTCATTTAACAAAATGTCCTTATTCATTTCAACAACCAGTTCAATTGAGCAAATTTCAATAGCTCTGCCAAACAGATAAGACGCAGCAATGAGGAAAACAAACACAACCAAGAGAAACCGACAGACAAAGGCTTAAGTTTCTCCCCTATCTGTGCGGCTTCGATTTTGAAATAATATTTAATGACCGTAAAATTATATAGAATGCTAAATTTGAATTCTGTTTGCTCTAAGCTCCGCCTCTAGTTGGCTGCATTTGTTTTTATTGCCAGAGTTTGAGCAATAATCATATTGCGGTTTGTTGGTTTGACATTTAGGAGGCTGGAGACTGATTAGCAATGGGATGGCTATATGGGACGATGCCATATCGTATGGCATGCGATGAGCTTAAGCAGCAAAGGCAATAAAAGTACAAATTGAAATGGTATCATAAAAAGAAAGACCAATTGAGTGCCTAATGCTAATTGTTGTGCTAATTAGTTGAATTTAATAGGAGATTATTAGGTGTTATTATATTGTATAAATGTTGAACATCCTTTTAAAATTATATGGGAAAAATTTATAAATTTTAAATATAATTTCATTGTTAAAAATATACATTATTTTAATTCATTTTTAGTATATAAATTCCAGACTTTGCTTTATGAAAATATGTAACAATTTGTAAAATAAATCTCATTTAAATTCCCCCTTCAGCCTTAATAATTTAACTTGTTTACTGGAAGATCAAAGTTCGTTACTTTACCTCCCTTTTAAGAGCTGATGCATGTGCAAAACTTTCTGTCCGTAGGTATATGAAAGCCAAAAAGTATTTTTTATTTGAGTCTTAAGCGTGCATCAAAATTGAGCTGCCACTTGAAGTCTTTGATAGTTCTGACCAAGTGCAACTACTTTCAATAAATTCTACTTGTTATTGCTGTTTGCGCTCTTTCGCGCGCTCTGTCACTCTCGCTCTCTCCCTCTCTTTCTCTTTCTCACTGACTCTTTTTTGATATATATATATATATAATATATTCAACGCACACATCGGACAGACTCTTAAAATGGCCATAAAGCAAATTGTGAAAAATTATTGTGTATATAAAATTTAATGACATGTCAAAAAGGATATCCGGCATACGGCACAAATGGCGAACGAAGTGGAGTAACTGAAGCAAAGAATGGGCGTTGCTCTGACATCGTCAATGTCCTTAGTCGTTGTCCTTGTGGCGCTGTCGTCTGTGTGGAGCAGCAGCACCAAAACCTTGTTGTTTGTGGGTGGTATATTTAATGTGCTGTAAGTCCTGCTACATATGACGCTGACAATTTTAGTTTAGTTGTTGTCTGTCGTATTTGGTATTTGGTATTTACTTCTTCACAGTGACAGAGATATAGGAAAAGAGGCGAGATAGAAAGCAAGAAATACATAATCAAGCGCAACTTTATTATTTTGTCGAGCAACAACTGTTTCGTGTGGGCTACTACGATGCCTTCAAAGCCAGTCTAGTCTCTCTGCAGCTCTTTATGGCCGTCATCATTACGCCCCGTCTTGGCTGCTCCTGCTCCTGGTCTGCTCTCACTCTGGTCTCGCTGCACATTTTATAGTTTTCAAAAGTCACAAAAATGTCAATTGCTTGTCATGTGCGCTCCCCGAACGCCAAAATGCCATTGAATAAATTATATTGTGGCCATAAAATTGTTGCTGCCTGCTGCTGCATGTTTTACCATGCCAAAGTCTCACGTCCCATTCCATGTCCGGGCTTACTTAGTAATGCCAGCTACAAATAGCATCCGTCTGCCCGTTTTTTCTCTGCTGACCAGCACGAGCAGCTGGATCCCCCTGTTTATTTGCATGTGCGGGCTAATCAGGGAGCTCAGCTCTTCAAAATTGATTTCCACCCGCCGACCCGCATCCCATTCTCGCAGGGTATGCAGCGGGAGGATTGCCGCTGTTTTGCTTATTAGATCACCCTCGGCATTTGTGATAATGACGCCATAAATGCTGAATTATGGCTGCATGCCAACCAAAAAATACAAGCAGAAATGGTTGAATTTTGAATGCTCGACTAGGCAATGGCCTGTAAATGGAAAACAGTTTTGGTCATACATTTTTATACTTACCAATTTATTGAGAATCTTATTTTTTATAGATGGGAACCTTTCACTTTCTTCTGCATCTGATTCAATTTTTTATCTATATTTATCTAATATACGAAAAAATTATTTTTATCGAACTGATATTCCTCTGCTCGGAGAACGTAAAGGTACATCTAACGTTCAGGAATACGATTTCGAATGATTAATTACATATGTGTAACAATATCTTCTTCAGTCTGTTATAATCATTCATACATCATTCATACAAACGCGCGTGGTATACCATATATGCTCCACAAACCTTACAGGGTACACTATGAAAACAAAACTTGAGTTTTGGCATTCTTGTGAACTTAAGACCTTTTGAATTTTAATCAAGCTAAATATTGAAGCAGTTGCTGTTGCTCGTATTTTCACTTTCATTGCGCTGTTTATGTAGTCGAACGTCGGCCACATATAGATATGCTTGGCATTCGCATCCACTCATCCTTGTTAGGATGTGTTAATGTTCCACGCTTGAATGGCGCATAAATTTCTTGATGCGGTTTTTTATGCTCTACCATTTGTCTAACTGGGGTGACTGTCGAACTCGGGACCACTCGACCCTCGACTGTCTGAAGTAATTGAAAATGTTTGAAATAATTCATAAAATTTTATGTGATTTGCGCTTTGAAGTTCGCTTATAAATACATATACATATCCATTTGGCAAGGCCATTAAAAAATAGTTTCAGCTCTCACTCTCTGTCGATAGCTCTGCGTTGATAATTGCTTTAATGATGCCATAACGTCGCCTTGATATCTCCCTTTAATTTATGTGCCTCTGCCTCAGTGCCAACTGAAACTGCCCCAGGGCTAGCCCCTAGCTAGATACAATTACTTATGTATATGCATATCGTCACGATTTGTGTATGAATAAGTAAGCCGTCTATTCTGCCATTGCATGATTTATATACGTTATATGTAATGGGACCCCACCTGTATGCAGCTATATACCTGTGCACACTTGTCCCTGCATAACCACTTGAAAAACGTTAAATAAGTTGTCTAACCACACATTAAACCAATTTCGCTGTCCAGCTGTCCGACTGGCTGGCACCTTTCGTTGGGTGAGTTTGTTTTTGGGGCACGCCCACACACACACACGCCCACATGCCAACTTACGCCCGCACACATACACAGCAGTTTTTTGGACGCCATAAATCATAGGGAGAAACACGTATGTGACTACTTTAGCTCGGGGATCGATAAATTATTATTAGTTGGCCGGCCGCTGGGTCCGCAGCAAAGGAAGTTGTTAGACCCAACTGAAATCCTAGCCGCAGCGGTTCAAATGCCTTTTAACTTAACAACTTTTTCTGCCAACACCAAACATCACCACACACACTTACACACACACTCACACACACACTGGCACACAGACACACACAAATCAATGAAGGACTTTGTCCTTGTGAGCCATGTTTGCTGCTGCACTGGCCGAACCCTTAACGTTGTGTGTAAAGTGGACTTGACATGAGATTAACATCTTCAAAAGCATAGCTTAAAGTATTTGTTAGAGTTCGTTGAAGTTCTTCCCTGGACTAAGGCGCGGTCTGTTTCGCCAACCTCCGTCGAGTCCCTTTTGGATAATTGCGTTCTTGTGCGCTGAGCCATGAGCTTAACTGTTGCTGTCATAACTAAGCGAAAAGGTATACAATTTATGAAAACGTCGTCCACTCCCAGCCAGTTGCTGACTCCTACATACCGACGGGTGTAGACCCGTTCGGCACACTCGTTTGGAACAAAGAATGACCCACGTCGCGACGTGTGTATATTATAACAATTTTCGTTTGGATTTATTTTGTTGATTTCAATCGTTAAACAATGGCAAAATAGGATTCTTACTTACGACCTAGTAGGTGGAGTTGGTGGGCGGTGTAAAGGCTCTAATCGTATACAGGCAGGTAGCAGCTGGCGCGCTTACAAGGCACGACGATGACGCAGTTTCAAGCGACGTACAGTCTTGTATTGGTATCCATCAGCAGCGAGAATAGCAGAATCCTGAGCGGGCTCGACTTCCTCAACTGGGACCTCAGTGGCAACTTCTTCCGCGGGAGGCAAGTATTCGTTGGCGATCTCGGAAACATCACGACGTTGACGGTACTTCAGACGACGGACAGTCTTGTATTG